CGGTCGGACAGCGGGCGAACGGCGGCCCGGGGCAGCCCCGGAGGACCGGTCCGACATCCCCCGTGTCGTGTCAGACCTGCGTCCGCCGGCTCGCCGCCGAACGGTCCAAAATCCCGCCCCGTCGTCTATGGGCGTCCGAGATGGTGCGTCGGCACTGTTCCCAGCCGAGCGGCTCCGTCAGCATCGGCGATCGACGCCGCTACGAGGGTCGGCAGCGACGGGAGGCGACGCGGAAATGTCGGGATGGCCACTCCCGTTCTGCGCGACACACTTTGAATGAGTGGCCATCAACAGATTTCGTCATCAGTCACACCGGAGAGAAATAATCCTTTTTGTTTGTCCACCAGCTGCACCACACGCAACTCGACAAATTAAATTTGCACGAAACACCTAATTGCTGATAAATCTATTTCTTAGTGTAGAAAGTCAGTGTACTAAAATGTGCAAAATTTAGGATTAAAAAATAAAGAAGCAGAGAAAAATTAATAGGTATATCATTATTTACACATCAACGATAAATAAAAATATTTCGTCATTCATCGTGAAGATTAGAAATTGCTCAACACTCAATACGTTTCCATGACACGTCTAAATCGATTTAGCGAAATTTCACGTGCGTTTTTCTCGGAAACTATTTACCTTATGCAAAAAATGAGCGTATATATGGTTTTAGCTAGCACCTAATCCTATATTTACATTTTTAAATTATGCCTAAATGCTATGATGGAGCAAATCCATTTTTCAAAATCGGCTTAGCTTGTGCCATGGAAACGTAGCCACTGACTCTCTCAGTCGACAAATCTTGCTGTAACGCTCCCAAGTCCTTCCCCTTATACCTGAGCGAAACCACTTTGGTTATTGCATTGGAATAGAGCGCGACACAATTCACTTCAAGCAGCGACTTTCAGCGGCCTCCCCAGTTGACGGCGTGGCCTTTGGAGAACTGCGGCGCCTTTCTGTGTGATTGGAATACGGGCCGGGCGCGTGTTATCAGCTGCCGTCTCCAGCGCTGTCACGCCACATTTAGGCACCAGTTGGCGCCGACAAATCAAATAACGGCCGCGCTATTTTCATGGTGCCGCACCTATCCATGCTTCTATCCTCAGGATACTGAAATCCTTCTCCTCCACGCCGCAACCCCCCTCCGGGCTGGACAGGCAACTTTATCTCATGCGGGCTGCTCCCTTGGAGCGGCACCGCTGCTCCCGAGGGAGCTGCACCCCGTAGCCGGGTGCAGAGAGTGCTTGGGGGGCTGATCGGCCTGTCCATTTGGACGGGCTCAGCCCCGGCGACTCTCTAGGGTGCCTGCCCAGACCAATGTCTCCCCCTAATTCCTATCATCCTTCCGGCTCTGCAATGGTCTTGTCGACCGAAAGGGCCTAACCCAACAAAACAAAAAAAAACATGGTGCCGCCTCACGGTCGCGGAGCCTCGGACGGCGGCTCGGTGACCGCGCCGGCAGCGGCCGCTCAGTAACTCGGCAGGCGGCGCCGGCCGACAGCTCAATCCCGGCCCGTCGGACGGCAGAGCGGCGGCCCGGCTCTCAGCTGTCCCACACCGCCTCTGTATGTATACGGACTCACCACCGCGCCGGCTCGTCGGCAGAGGAGATGTGAGAGAGCGCCAGAGAGGCGGGGAGATGGGGACGCTCGGGAGGCGGTGAGAGCACGTGGCCGTCCGAGCGGTGGAAAAGGCACGGGCTTCGCCAATAACTGTTAATGTTAATTAAATTAAAAGCCAATTATTTCCAATTTCCAAAAAAATCAATTCTTAAGTCATGCGAACAAATAACAAGGAATTGCATATTATTATTTTTTAGTATGAACCGTCAAGAAAACATGTGAGGCTGCTTGTGAAAACATGGCTGCTTAACCCTCGCCCGTAAACGGTGTTTTGCCACCTTCGCCCATGCAGGGGGGGGGGGTTGGTGCGACCCCCCCTGGCGTTTGAAAACGGAGCGTCGTAGGGCTTAGCGGAAAAGACCAACGGATTGCTCTCAACGAGATCTCGCGATTGGTGGTATATTTTTTGGTCCTAGGTCAACATTTGACCTACTTATAACCGGTCAAAGGTCAAATTTTCGGAAAAAATCTAACTTTTTCAGATTTCCGCGCCGATTGCGGCAAAACGGTAAGAGATATCGACTTGAAACCTTCACTATCGTGATCCTTGATCAATTCTCTATCGTTTGGTGTGTATTTCGATGTCATAACTCTAAAAATGATGCGTTGGGAGCATCGGAAGTCTGCAAGGTCATTTGTGCATTGGGTCACGTCAGGCGTGTGACGTCACTGACCTGACCCTGACCCAAAATGAACTACAAGAAACAACCGACGATGCCTGAAATGGATAGCAAATTCGAATTCAGGGCATCAAAATACCCCGAAAAGGCATTCAAGTGCAAAAAGTCATTACAGGTCAACCGAGGTCACTGACCTTACCTTGACCTTAAGTAACCTTCAAAATGTCAACGGACATTGTGCCAATGTCAAATCAGCCAGTTGTGATTCTAAAACAATCCATCAGTGTGTCAGGTCAGTCGGCATTTATACCAATGTGAAGCAATCTCCAATTTAGCGTAAATCTGGCCGGAGGTTGTTCCCTTTATGACGTCATAACTCCGTGACCTGACATGACCTTGACAAAAAAAAACCAAAAGTTGCGCAAAGGATGCCCCAGGGGGTACTGAAAATTTAAGCAGGCTATCTGAAACGGTTCGGCGTGTAGCTAAGAAAAACCTCAGGGGGGGTTGCACCAACCCCCCCCTACATGGGCGAGGGTTAACCCGGCCGGGCCCGGGGGTAATCCCAACCACCGCGGCGCGGGGGGGGGGGGTCGTTTTTCGCCATCCTGTCTAACTCCGTAAATAAGGGAGCTACAGAAACAAAAGTGGTACCAAACGAAAGACTCTTACGAGGCAATTCTAAAGCACCTAAAATTTTTGACCTCAGGTCAATTTTCAAGGTCAGAGGTCAATGTCAAAGGCAAAAACCGGAACATGTTTAGTGATCTCAAAGTAAGCGTTGTAGAGGACGGCAGGCTGCAAAAAATCGACAAAATTGGATGGGAAACGAAAGAAAAGATTCAGAGGATTCCGAAAATGTGCTCAAAATTAGAGGTCACGGTCAAGGTCATGCTCAAAATTGATCTCAAACTTTGCACTTTTTCGTACATCTTGCGTGTTATATTCCAAGATGTTCTGAAATGTTTTGAGGCTTATCAGGTCCCTATTTGTGGTTCATTTTACGATACAAGGCTGCTCAAAGGTCAAGGTCACAGAAGAGTGTCCTTGCTAGAGGCTATTTCACTGATTCAAGTTAGTACTAATAATTAGAACAATTTTGTCATCCGGAGGCTCCAACTGAAGGCTTAGAGGAAAATAGATGCCAGATTCGTAATCAGTGGCTACAAATCCATCAGAAACGACCTTTCATTTGTCAAGGTCATCCAGAGGTCATTCGAGGTCACATGAGGTCAACATGGAACTTGATCTTTCCAAGCAAAATATATATCATTCGACGCGACTGGAAAAGGCGAATGCGTTGGTACCACTGCCGTAACTCTAGGATCATTTTTGTTTAAGTTTTTTTTTGCGAAAAACTAAAATCAAAGCTCGGGGTCGTTGACCTGACCTCTGACCTCAGGGCACCAAAGCTATTTTTCTGTTCTTTTCTCCATATCAAACGCTACACAACCGTGCTCGTAATTTGTCTTTATCTCTAAAACTCTATTTTTAGCAGCTATTTGAAGTTCGCGTCTGTGACGCCGAAGTTTGCCGTGCAGGGGTCTAGCAAAATCGACCCTCTGACGTCATCAAGGGAGATAGATCCAAAAATTTTACTCTAGAAGATGTCAAATTGATGGGAGAAAAGGTACTGGAAGTTTCGTTTTCCTATCCCTAAGCGTTCGGGCGCTATCGCAAATATTCTTCAGGGTGGCCTTCGATTTTTAACGCCTCTCCTTTATCCCCTTTTGTAGACACATAAATAGGCAACGGGTCCAATATGTTTGCATTTGAGAACTTCTGTGAAACCCCTGAATAGACCAACCAGCTACTGCTTTTGTTGCTGCCTGTTTGGTTGTTAATCGTGCGGGCTGCCAGTGGTGGTAAAAGGCAATTCGCTAACTTCTTGATAATGAGGAGACTCGATTACACTGCACTACGGTACGACTGTTTTTGTTGCATTAGGGCCCACTGAAACTCGTAAGAAACCAATGGCAATCACCGAGAGAGAGAGAGAGAGAGAGAGAGAGAGAGAGAGAGAGAGAGAGAGAGAGAGAGAGAGAAGAGAGAGAGAGAGAGAGGGAGAGAGAGAGAAGAGAGAGAGAGAGAGAGAGAGAGAAAGAGGGAGAGAGAGAGAGAGAGAGAGAGAGAGAAGAGAGAGAGAGAGAGAGGGCCAGAGGGGGGGGGGGGGGGGGGAAGGAGAGAAGAGAAGGAAAGAGCATGTCGTCGTTCTTCAGCAAATCGTTTAACATCGGTGTTACGTTGATTCAAGGAATATACACACAGAAAAATATTGACACCGTTAGCGGTGTAATTGCACAGTACATATCTGAGCACTTGAGGAAAGTTAATTTAGTCCCTTCCCCGCTTAAATTACTCGCGCTTCTAAATGAACACCAGGAAGGAGGTAATAGAACACTGTTAGGAGGGTTGGGTGTTTTACTACGTGTAGCAAAACACCCAACCCTCCTAACAGTGTTCTATTACCTTCTTCCTGGTGTTCATTTAGAAGCGCGAGTAATTTAAGCGGGGAAGGGACTAAATTAACTTTCCTCAAGTGCTCAGATATGTACTGCGCAATTACACCGCTAACGGTGTCAATATTTTTCTGTGTGTACCTTATGTTATGACATGCAGATGGTTCCAGTGCTGTTAAAAAAGACCCATCAGAGCCGACAGCTTATAGCTTATCAACATCTGTTTCAGATGTTTAGACATTGATGAATGGTGCATGACCTTCTTTATGTGGATGAAAGACTGATCGAGTGCAATGCCTAGGTACTCAGTTTTTTATTGGCACAATATCATTCCTCGTATGAGGAGTGGAAGCCACGATGTTTCAAAACAACACAAAACAATCCAGTCGACCACTCCCCACCAGGTATAAACTAGCCTAGACCCCGTCGGCACCAGCATTATTCGTCCTCAGCGTCACTGTCGTACAGAATGCCCGTGCACTTTCCGATCTCCTTGCACTTGACGATCACCTCCTCTTGTACGAGGCTGAAGGACATGGCGATGATGGCCAGCCCGAGGATGAGGTACAGACAGCAGAACACCAGTTTGAGCTGGTCCTCCTGCGTCTCGGCCCTCAGCACCTTGGTGCCCGGCACCAGGTCGCCGAAGCCGATGGTGGATAGTGTGATGAAGCAGAAGTAGGCGCCGTCCAAGAACCGCCACTCCTCCCACCAGGCGAAGATGCCGGCGCCCATGCAGATGTACATGGCCACAAAGCCGAGGACGAGCGGGATGGGCACGCGGCCGGCGGCGCGCTGTCCGCCGGCCGTCTTCACCACCTCCACCTGGACCAGCTCGTCGGGCTCCGGCTCGAGCGCGGCCGCCGGCTCCGGGAAGGTGAACCGCTGCGAGGACGAGTACACGCCCGAGTCGAGACTGGACGGCGTGGAGAGCAGCGTGCTGGCGCCGCTCAGCTCCGAGCACTGCCGCGTCGCCAGCCGCCGCATCCGCTTCTCGCTGCGGGAGATCTTGCGCAGGTGCGGGTGCTCGATGTTGACCGCCGCCCTCCTGGCAGGACTGCTCAGCTTGCGCTGCGGCGTGGCCGGCCCGAGAGACAGCGAGTCGGAGTCGAACGTGATGTTCACTCCGCGGGCGGGAGAGGCGTCCGACCGGCGCCGGGCCCGCTCCGCCGCCGAGGAGGAAGGCGAGACGCTCCCGGCGGTCACCGTCTTCACTGAGGGCGGCGGGGGCACCTCTGTTGGGAAGGTCGGTAGTCGCTGTGGGCTGCTCCGGCCGCTGGAGCCCGCCGAGTTGCGGCCCGAGCGCGGCCGAGACGCCAGGCTGCTCTTCCGACACGGCGGGGTCGGCGGCTGGCGTTTTTCACTCTCCACAGGCGTGGAGAACGTCACGTGGTTCGTCGCTGATGTCGAGTTCTTTGTGACTGGCGTCACGGGAACCTCTGCATCACCCCCTGCCATGGCCTCGATCACATCAATGATAGCATCTGGGTCATCAGCGGTATCAACTAATTTGTCGCCACTTACATGAGGCACAGCAACAGTTTCATTTTCAACATCGCCACCTTCAGAAGGACCATTGACATTTGCATCACTAGCACCAACACCACCACCAACGCCGCCAGGGCCACCGACTACACCATTTATACCGCCTGCACCAGCCTCACCTCCCGCTGTCTCCGACTTGGATCCCGATCGGTCCCGGAACACCCCTCGTCGCTGCGGCGACGTCTCGAGCAGCGAGCTCAGCTCCTCGGTGAGCACGTACTCGGCACACTCCACCAAAATGTCCCGCGTCTCCTTGTCGAGCAGTTTGATCGGGGTGGCGGGACCGCTGGTGCGCAGAAGGTCCCCAGGGCCGGCGCTCACTCCGCGGCAGTCGGGCTCACTGAGACTGGGCTCTCCCAGCAGTCCCCGCGGCCCGCCGCCCGGCCCGTTCGGCTGTCTCCTGCCACCGGGACTGCTCGGGTGTCTCCTGATGATACCCCCCGGACTGCTCGGCTGACGCACCAGGGTGCCCGCGGGGCTGCTCTGCTGTCGCATCAGAGTACCCACAGGAGTGTGTTGCTGCCGCAATAGCGAGCCGCCGCGGGTTGCAGGAGAGGTCCTCAGCGTTCCACTCGGGCCGTTTTGTACCACTCGAACACCCATCCCCACATCATTAGGAACGTGTCTCGTCACCACACCGAGCTCGTTGACAATCACCGTCCGCCCCCCGGAGGCATTCCGCGCCCTCGCGGCGTCCCCTGCCGGTCCCAGCTGTGTGCGCACCTCCTCGAACTCCATCCCAGGAGACACCGAGGTTAGGGCGGCAGCCGCAGCGGCCGCAGCCGTGGCGCTGCTCCGTTTCTGCGAGTAGCGCACGGAGGTGCGCGTGGCCTGCGGCCGGCGCGGCCTCCAGATGACCGTGCAGGACCAGTAGGTGAAGCGGAAGGTGTTGGCCATCAGCTGGCCGATGTTGGTGAGGCAGAGCAGCATCAGAGGAACGCCGATCAGCGCGTAGAAGATGGTCATTATCTTGCCGCCGTCGGTGCGTGGAGTGATGTGGCCGTAACCTGCCGGTGAACAAGGGGGAATGGCGTTTAATTGGGCAGTAATCAGCCGGTGATTTGCTGCGAAAAAAAAGAGGCGTCAAGAGACTTTACTTCAGTCAACAATAATGATCCCCCAGCATCCATCCTTTCAATTAAGCCGACCGTGAATGAGATATCAGGTCAGGTCCAGCAGCTGATCACGTAGCACAGACAGGCTTGAGAGGGTTAATGCGGGTCTATTGTTGGAATAATCGCCACACGCTGCGCAGTCAGCTGATCATCTGCCACAATGGTCTGATTTCACCCGGCAAAACACTTCAGATGATTATGGTGCTCCTCTCAATGGGGTGCCTGTGAGTGTGGCTGTTCGGTAAACAACTCCCACTAACATCAAAACGCTCATCGGACATCGCCCACGTGATGAGCCAGACTGGAAACATTTGTGTCGTGTGCAGTGAAGTTTGGATGCATCCCTTTTTTCGGAATTCGTTTCGATACGGGCCCTTCTATACTTTTATAAACTAACGCAGCTAACACTTCCCTCGACTCTCTGTATTGATTGATTTGCATAGAAAAGTCTACTTCTAAGCATTCAAACAGCTCGGCGAAGCGGCAGGCTGGCAGCGTCTGCCATAATCCGCGGCCATTGTTGTGAAGAGGCCGGACCGGAGCGGCTGAAGTGAGGCGGGCTGACGCGTTTGAGGGCCTGCTCTGAGAGTGTGTCCCGGTTCCGGCGGCGGCGACGGGCGCTGCTCGCGGACAGTGTCAGTCGACTGGCGGTGCAGCGGCCCGGCTCAGCGCCGCGCCGTCAAAACCAGACGCGCCGACACCGCCGCCGCCGCCGAACATTCCGCCGAATTCCGCGACTGAATGGAGATGAGGCCGGCAGCCTGTCGGGCGCGAAATGCCCGCCCCGGATGCCGCGTAAGCCAGCCCATACCGCTCTCGATATATCACAGAGGGAAGCCAAACATCCTCTTCCCGCCCAACCAACGTAGGGATAATACGACCTTTCACCGGTCACTGCTCAGACAAGGCTTTGAAATGCATCTGTCAGTCACGTAACTCAAAATAAGTCGTGCCGGGGCTGGATCAAATTACCAAAAAATATTTATTGAAAAAGTGCAAAGGAATGTCATTTTGTACCTAAACGTTCAATGAACTCAAATACCTACAACCATAGTTTTTTTTTTTTTTTAAAGCTCGACCCTCACTGTAAACATATTTTGAATGCAGCACGAGAATGGCTGGATGAATTAGGTACTGAGAAAACTGGTTAGCATTGGAGAAATGAATAATAAATATCAAACTAAATTTATAACACCGATAATATAATGGTTAAACGCCATTCGATTTATTACTCACTACTACTTAGTTTAGTTATAATCCTTAGTAAGTGGTAAGTCGTCTATCCGAAGGCCGTATATTAGGGCCTATCTCTTGGTCTATCCAATGGCGCCAACCAGTTTTCTCACGAATTCAGCTAGCGATTCTCGTGCTGTGTTCAAAGAGACGATTACAATGAGGGTTGAACTAAAAAGAAAACGAACTTTAGCTGTCGTAAACCATATCCATGAAGGTAATGCAACCAGCGAGCTGAACCTAATCAAAATGTTTATAAAAAAAAAACTCAGAAAATGAAATAGCGGCAACAGGAACGCGCACCTATGTAGAATCGTGATAGGCAGTTAACGTTTTATGTTTACGTCACATAAGAGGAAAATATATGAATGGACGAGCCAGCCTTCGACACATTTTTGTGATTTATATCTGAGTTGATTCCTAACATACAGCCGGTAATAAAATATATCGGCGGGCTCATTCAGTGGTCGGAATTGACAGCCGTCCGATGTTCTTTATCAGAACTGCCGCGGGTGACTGCCATCGGGTCCGTTATGGGGCGGTGATGTAGATTGCTCTTGTGTTACGGACCGCTTTCAACGTCGACGACCTACCGACGCCTGCGCCATATTGATTTAAAGGCGCCCTCGCTAGGGATCGTGTCTGATAGCTTAAGTGGATAAAGCTTCACGCTGCGAAGCTTATCGCTTATGCCTCCCCAAAAATAAATATTCAAATTGCATCGAGTGCGTCATAAGCCTTTCGGCCCTATAGCGTGCTGTCGAAAATTGAATCGTTCCACCATGCCAACAGCAAGCAGCGCTCAGTAGTTTCAACGTTCATTAGCTATCTTTACAGGATTATTATATGTAATAATTCATTTTCGCTTTGCGCAAGTTCAGTTTGAAAAATGCGTAAATGCGTATTTATGATGTAAATGCGTTGTTACCGTCACGTTTCTATCAAAATCGAAAATGAGTCGATCTAAAGGACCTCTTCGACATTTTTGATGACCTCACAATTCACCTAATTAGGTCCACATCGTGCAATGGTCCACCGTGTCTTAGGAGCCGATCATATCACTCCGAATAAAATGCTCACTTTGTGCCAGAGCAGATACGGAGAAGAAGGATTGCAAAAAGCACATGAAATTGAGCCAGTTCTTACTCTCCTGTCACATGTTCAGGTGAACTCCGAGAAGCCTGTGGCGAGGGCGCTGGGGGCGTCGGGTGCACATGACAGGCGTTCTTTCTTAGCGGTGCTCGGTGCGGGAACGACTGCCGACAGTAAGGTAAACACCGCCCCGGGGGTCAGCCGCGGCGGTAGTCCGTGCTCGGGAGCCGCCGTCCGCGTCGGCAGACAACGGGCTGCAGAGTTGATGCGAAGGGGTTTAACGGCTTCAGGGGAATACGCTGATATATCCAGATCAATCGTGGCGGTGCAGGATCTCGTTTCTTTTCACAACCTTTGATCTTTCTGTCGCTTTATAATTGTGCCTTTCATATTTAACTTGTAGAAAAGGTCTCAATATAAAGTTGCAATCAGGATATGCGTAGTTCAACTGGCCAGTAACTTTAGCAAGCTGTAATGACGAATGATGCAATTAATAAACGCTGTTTTAACTCGTAAAAGCTGTCACATGACAAACATTTGTCAGTCATCGCCCACCTAAGCCATTCGCAATGTTGTTTTTGCCTCAATCATAGCATGCCGAATGACTGGCGTTCGTTCCCGGATGTACTCTGTCTTTATGCACCTATTTTACAAGCAATGCTGCACTGCATCAATGCTCGGGTTCTGATTTGTCCAGTAGCTCTGCTGAAGTTTCGTCGTCGTAGCGGAGGTGGAGGCGGAAGCCACCTGCCTGAAAAATTTCGGGCGACGCTGTGTTGGTGGAGAGAAGCACGAGAGAAGGAGGTTATGAAATGTCGATAACGTCACTCAATCCCGGGAACTCTCCGTCCCGGGAAAGACAGTCCTGTGAGTTTCCGGTCTAGGGGAAAACCGAGTCCCGGGAGTCTCCGGCTCCGGGTCAGGCAGCCCGGGAGTCTCCGGCTCCGGGTCAGGCAGCCCGGGAGTCTCCGGCTCCGGGTCAGGCAGCCCGGGAGTCTCCGGCTCCGGGTCAGACAGCCCGGGAGTCTCCGGCTCCGGGTCAGACAGCCCGGAGATAGCCGGCCCCGGGGCAGACAAACTCGGGACCCTCGGTGACGCGCCCTGATTATTTGGACGCACCGTCATCGGTATAAATAGGAGCACACCTGTGAGCCGGTGCGCGACGCGGATTATTTTTCCTCGCGTCTCCGGCGGCAGGTGACGGCGCGTCGCTCGCACCCGGGGCCTCCAGCCTCCGCTCGCACCGCGGCCGCCGCCGCCAACAAAAGCCGCAGAATCGAGCCGCGAGACGATCCATTAAAGCAATTATGTTTGTGTTCAGGGCGGAGGCGCGAGCATCGATCTCTCTCCACCGGAGCGGTCGGACCGCAGCCGAAACGCCGTAAATCCGGCACGGGAAACACTACAGACACTCTGTTTCACAGCGTGTAACATTGGCTGTTATATAGGACCGGCGCAGTGCAGGGAGGGTGGCGCGGCCGGGGACGCCGCGACCGATCGTCCCTCCGACTGAGGCAAACGCAGGGCGCCAAAACACCAATACGGAATACCAGTCAGACAAGGAGAGTACGAGTATATCTGATATTTGGTCAACCTCAAGCTATGCTCCTATTTTATGATTATGATTTCGCTATAAGTGACATTTTGAGATAAGATTAGCTTTTTTATCGGTTTTCTATTTCCTGTTCGCCTCCCCACAACCTGGAAACAGTGAACGTAAAATATTTGGAGATAAATTGACTAATCATCATCTAATCTCCTTTCTGCCATCGTGCTCGGTGACGAGTGGCCCTTCAGTTCATTGATGATGGCATCAGCATTCCATTATTGGAAATTCACGCCAACGCATGCAACCATTATTTTCACGGAATGAACAAGTATGTAACACGATTTATTTACGAATACAAGCAGCCAGATGGCCACCTATCCTCAGGGCTCAGGCTGGAATATAATCATAATTGGAGATCGTTGCATATGTAATAAAATCTTATTATTTTCACCCTATTGGCGTCAAAACTTTATAAAGTTACTTGATTCCTCCACCCTATTATAGAGTGCTTTACTGGACTACATATTTCAAAACCCAAGAAATCTTTGCAGATATCTCTTCGTTGGCAAGTCAATTTGTCTTGGGATTTTTGGATGTCTGTAGGTATGTATGTGTGTTAGTATGTATGTTTCCTCTCCCTCCCTCTCTCTCTCTCCATCTATCTCTCTCGAGCACGCTCTCTCCCTCTCTTTCCCTCTCTTTCCCTCCCTCCCTCCCTCCCTCCTCCACCCCTCCTACTTCTTCTCCTCCTCCTCCTTCACCCCTCCTCCTCCTCCTCCTCCTCCTCCTCCTCCTCCTCCTCCTCCTCTCTCTCTCTCTCCCCTCTCTCTCTCTCTCTCTCTCTCTCTCTCTCTCTCTCTCATCAGTTCTCAGCGCGCTCTGCGCCCATCCACTCACAATGTCATCACTGTGTGTGAGAAGTCTCGCGTGCCGGGCCGGTGAACTTGTGTAAACGTTTACCGGGCTGCGGCCGATTCGGCCCCGGCCCGAGACGAGCGGAGTTGCTGGGCCACCCCCA